GGAGACAGTCATGGAGATGGCTGCCAAGTTCCTATGCAGGCTCCATGTGTGCCTGAAGTGCTTAATTTTATGTAACGCCTGCCCAGACCATTCCATTGCAAAGCTGGAGAAGCTGGCCAAGAGTGGGACCCCACTCTTGCTGATTCAAGAGGATGGGTTAGGATAATCCAGAAAGTTTCTTTCTCCAGAGTCTTTGAATCTCGGCAAGAACTGAAGACTTGGGGGGTGCAGCAGACACTCTCTTTTTCCCCTGATAAACAGGAGCCCTTTGGCTACAAAATCAACATGGCATACTAGCACTGCTTGAAACATTTAATGACCATTCAGAATGTATTAATATAAGTGGAATATTAAGGGATCCTGAATAGCCAATTCTGCTGAGAAAGAAAAATAAAATCGCAGGTCTCATACTTTCTGATTTCAAAGCTTACCACAAAGTAGTAAAAGTGCACTGACTTAAGAACAGATATATTAATAAATAGAATAGAACAGAAATAAATCTTCAAGTATACAATCAAATAAGCAAGAGTAAAAGGCAGCCCAGAGGGTAGGAGAAAAATATTTATAAACCTTCTATCTAATAAAGGGTTAACATTGAGAAAAATAACCCACTATGTTCAAGAAGAACAAAAATCGAACTACTTGATTTCTAAAACATGTGTAAAGAACCTGAATGGACATTTCTCCAAAGAGAATATCCAAAAGCCAAGAAGCACATGAAGAGAGCATCAATATTATGAATCATTAAGGAAGTGCAGAGTCTCAGTTTGGGAAGATAAAAAGTTCTGGACATAGATGGTGAGTCTCATTGCAAAACAATTTAAATGTGCTTACTGCCACTAAACTGAGGCTGAGGGTAAGGAGACCCCATTCTAGTCCCAGCCCCATCAGTGGTAGACATTTGGCTGGCTGGCCTTCCTCACCACACCCTCATCCTCAGAGGTATAGGACCAGTTAAGCAGGGACTTAAAAAGGAAGGCAATTTATGATTGACACCCTTTTGCTGTATTTTCTCTGCTTCTCAGATGAGGGCCAGTGGTGTTTCCCAGAATACAGTCTACACACCTTGGTGGCTTTGGGAATGCCAGCATTAGTACATGAGGCATATTCATATTACTATGTACTAGGGTATAGCCTATTTATAGAAAATGATATTGGTGTTTGTTTCTTTATAAGAATGATACAACTCTGTTTCTCAAATAAGCTTAAAAGCTAACAGAGCTGTTAAAAACTGGGTAAGCACACCAAGGGACATCTGGGGACACAAACTTGACTTGATAAGACTTAACATATATGACAGAATGCATGAAATTTGGCAGGTAGGCATAGGGGTGCAGATAGGGGAGGGGGTCTGAATATGGTTAAGATATATGAAATGCACAAAAATTCAATAAAAATAATTTTTAAACATGAGTAAGGAAAAATGACTAATACAAGTGGTGCTTGAGTAAGGTAAGACTCTTCAAGGTGAATTGTGAGCAACTAAGGTTTAGAAACCTTCAGGTAGATGTGCGGGTGCAAACCAACCTGCCTAATAAGACCCTAGCCATGGATCCCCAAAGCCTGATGATCAGGTTCAGGGAATCAAAAGATAAAGCTGATTAGGCAGGTTATGCTGCCCAGGTTCCTTAAGAAGCCAGATACTGAGAATTTCTCAACCAGCTGAGAGCAACTAAGAAACCAAACTTGGTTGTAAGGTCTTCCATTGCCAAGTTGTGAAAGTGATCAAATTCTATCTACTTCCTTTATGACCACCTGCCTCTGCTTTTCCTAATGTCCCTTTTTGCTCATTGGGCCCCACTACAGGAGAAAGTAGCCCTAACAAAGGCATCCATCTAAAAGTTAGGGATACGTTGGGCACTGTCCTGGGAGCATTTAAAGAGAAGCCAGACAGGAAACAGCCATCTCTCTGTGGATGCTTGGCATGCACAGAGTCATGCAGGGAGAAGACATTGACCTATGCGCAGGGCAAGCTCCCCTTGTGCCTGTCTTGAAGCAGCAGGATCCCTGAGATTCTGATTAGAGGAATCCCCTGGAATTTGTTCAAGGTCCGACTCTCTATCCCAGCTGCCTGCTTGCCAATCGGCTCAGTCTGCGGGTCCATAGGACAGTTTAGAATGCCTGCCTTCCCTGAAGAGAAGACATGAAAGAAGGTTCAATTGAGTATCAGCTAGAACTTCTGGCAAGCTCCCTGTGGGGAGAGAGAGAGAGGTAACAAGACTGTGCAACAACCTTTCCTCCTGGCCAATGTTGGGGGTTGGTGGTATACACACTAAAAATGTTCCCTTTCCTCTGTCCTTCTGTTACTGCCTATATGCATGTTTTGAAATGTTCTACCTATCAAACTGCATGGGTGAAGAACTAATTATCTTCCCCATTTTTATCATCAAAGACCTCCAGTAGCAGCCAAATACCAAGTTGGTCTAATTGCAGGTGAAAAGCAAAGAAACTTAACCTTTTGCTTACCAGTATAGTTATTTCAGTATTTGAAGATCCCCTTTTCACTTATTTATCTGGAACCCAGCCTAGAGGTACTAGAAGCTAATGTCCCCCAGCCCATGATGGGACTAGGCCCAAGCAAGGACTCAGATATGGAGTCAGGTAGGGCTGTATGGCTGTTATGGAAAGCTGGAGGACCCCTGAGTTGCACTAATTCTTTTTTAGTGGAGGACATTTCAGAAGCTCTCCTCCTGACAGTGGTGCCTGAACTTTTGTGTGACTAACGCAGAAGGTAAGGTGCAAAACTGAAAGTGAGGAAATGTCAAGAAAGGGAGACTAAGAGAAAAACAAGACAGCAAACATGGAATTTGCGAAGGATTGATCTTGACTAAGAGACTCTGTCAACAATTCTAACAAAGAATCTTGAAGTTCACCCAAATGGAAAAGACAGGCAAAAGGCATTGAGCAGCCAGTTCCCACATACACACACACACACACACACACACACACACACACACACACACTTATACACTCACACATACACATACACACACACACACACGCTTATACACTTACACATACACATACACATACACACACACACACACACACACACACACACAGAGAGCTGTATGGTAAACATTTTACTATCTAAAATGTATCCCATAACTTCACACAAACCTCAAACAAATACAATAAAAACAAATATAATAAATAATGTTAAAAATGAACAAATTACCAGTAAACATGAAATAATCAGTTTCACTAGTAACCAAGAAAGAACACTGAAAACCCCTTTTCTGATCCAACTGAAAAATTACACAATACTAACAAAGTGTGGGCAGTATTACATAGCTGTGTGACTCTGCATAGATATCTACTTTCTAGAATCATTGGGAAATGCCCATCAAGAGCTTTAACAGGGTTGGTGAGGTGGCATAGTGGATAAAGGCACTTGCTTGTCAAGCTTGATAGCCTTGATTCCCAGGACCTATCACATGGTGGAAGGAGAGAATCAGCTTCTACAAGTTGCCCTCTGACCGCCACATGCACACTGCAGCAAGCCTATGTGCTCATGGGCATGCACACACAAAAATAAATAATACTAAACAAAAATATGAATCTTTAACCATGGGCATCCTGTTTGATTTAGAAATTCCACTTTGGAATTTATCTTAAGAGTCTTGAAATCTGTGCAAAGATTTAGGTGTACAGTTTAGAAGGGAAACACAATATAAATGTTCAAAGATAAGGGATTCAGTGAGCAAATGGCATGTCCTAGAACATACACAGCCACTGGAAGTAGGAATGCTAATATTTAATGGCATAGAAATAAACATACTATACAACAGAGGATGGGCTAGCCCATTATTTCATACTGCATTTCCATAGAAAAGGCTAGAAATTAATGCACCTATCAGTGGTGGGTAGTGTTTTCCAGGCAATGGAGCTATAATTATCCTTTCTATATTTGCATATGTCTATTTTCTAACCTTTCTTCCATGATAAAATTTGACTTTTATAAGAAACTGCAACATCGATAACATGTTTTTTTTTTTAAAGAATCAATGATATTGCAAGTTTAGTATGATAGGGACTACTGACAAAAACGTCAAGTGCTCAAAGTTGGCTAAGAGGTGGAAAATCAGAGGTAGATAAAGAGGAGAGCTGAAGCCTACTGGACAGAGGCTATGTTTACTTCTGCTAGGATGAGTTGAAGAGAAGATAGGACTTGGAGATGTCACAGGCATATGCTGGAAGGTAGAACCAGTGAGCTTGCTAACCTTCCATGGTTCTGTGACTATGTAGAGAAGCTCTTTCTCTTCTGCCCCAAAGTCCCTCTCCCCTTCAGCAGGCCATGACTCTGTGAGGACAGGGAATTGTGATGATGGCACCTCTACATAACTTACTCCCTCCCTTTTTAGAAAGACAAATATGTGCAGTGGTGAGGTAAGGTCAAGTCAGGGCATTAGGAGACAGTGTGTGAAAAAAAGGCCATGGGATATAGACTGTGTCTTACATACTTTGTCCCTTGCCTCCCATTGCTATTACTATGGAATCATGATGACTGAATGGAAGGACTTTGGCCAGAGATGTCATTTGAAATAGCTGTTTAACTCCTCATGAGATCAGGAGGAGTCAGGACAGCATGGTAGTACTTAGGAAGCTGAAAGTTGATTGTCCTCCAGCAGGCCCTAACAATAACCCACTGTTCTTGACATTGAAACAAAGGGACTAGGAGACTTCAGAAGGCTGTCTTGAGCTTAGAGGAACTCTTGGTAGACACCAACAAAAGTCATTGAGACCATGAGATACGCTCAGGACCAAGTTGTTTCCCAATCCCATTGTGCCTCCAGCTCCTCTTGTGAGTCCACTTTTTTGGAACAGCCAGCCCCCAGTCCATAAACTTGCTCATGGGAAGGTCACAAGAAAGAGATGGGATTTACTTGGCTCAAGTCAAGAGGAAAAGAGGTTGAGGAAAGAAAGTAGGCTTCCAGAGCACAGCAAGGAGCCAGGTCTGGGCAGGGAGGGATGACAAGCAGGCCAGCCTAGCTACTGACCTCTGGGCATGTCCATGGGGTTGAAGCTAGCCAACAGGTCACGGCACCACTGACGGTCACCTTCCACCTTGCTCAGCCACTTGTTGCAGTTGAAGTAATAACGGAGATGAGGCCTCTTCATGTCAGTTACAATCACTCGTTCGAGGTACCAGCTGGCATTCAAGCCCGTGTTGTCATGCTCGATTCTGGGGCAGAAGCCAACATCCACTTCATTGGCAGAACCAAGATAATGCCCTTTCCATACCACAGTACCCAATGGTTACTCCAGAGGAGGCCCAATCATTTGGTTGCTTTGGTTTCAATATTTCCTCGCCTATGAAACGGGGAAACTTTGCAAGGTAGGTGTGCATATTAATGACCATCACATTGGTATGCTGTTCCAGGGAAATGTTTTCCTCCATGGACAATTCCAGGTCCCAAAGGCTCACAGTGGAGGCATCTTGACCTACACCTGGCAAAGCTTGTGCAGTCAGTGCTGTTTCCTAACCTTGGTCCATACCAGCATCACTCCCCTTTTTGCTCCAGTCCAAGCTACACAAACACAACACATTCTGAAGCTTATTTGAGTCAAGGTTAAAAAAAAAAAAAAAGGTGGCTCATCCCGATCTTATTAAAGGAGGAGTGATGAAGAAACAAACAGAAAGGCAGAAGCTACCTAGATCTTTGAAGCTATAGGGAACAGCTTGTCCCGTGGGACTACACTGCCCTCTACCATTGTTCCAAGTTTCCAAGTCCCCTCTTTATGACCCTCATCCACAAACAGGCACTATCTTTAGTCCCATCATCCAGGATCCTCCATAGCCATCCAGACCAAGAAAGATTGTCCCATAGAAATGTCATGTGAGCCACACATATGATTTCAGATTTTCTAGTAGCCTTATTTTTAAAGATGAAAAGAAGCTAGTAAAATTAATTTTAATAATATGTTGCATTTTCCACAATTTCAACAAATAACTATATGTCATTTTTTTTCTTGTGCTAAGTCTTAAAACCCTGGTATCTATCTTATCCATACAGTACACCTAGTAAGATCAGCAGCATTTTAAAAAATATTTTTATTGATTTGAAATTTTCATACAATATATTTTGATCATAGTCAGACCCCGTCCCCAACCCCCATCCCCACACCCACCTTACTACACACACAAGTTAAGGTCCTCTATTATTATCTGTTTTTAAAAGGTCTATCAAATCTACTCAATTTTCCCAAGTGCACTTACCATGTGGGTCCATCTCTTAGAGTCTGGTCAACCTGCCAGGCATCACATCAGTAAGGCACACTGACTCCCTTTCCCAGCGTCTATCAATTGCCAACAGATCTTCAGTAGGCTGGGGCTTCCTGCCCACCTTCCCCATCCATGCTGGACCCCTGTCTGATGTGGATTACATAGGACTTGTGCATGCTGTTATAAATGTTGTGGGTTCTTATGTGCAACTACCCTATGGTGTTTAGTTTCTTTGCATTCATCTTTCACCTCTGGTTCTTATACTCTTTCTTCCACAATGATCCCTGAAACCTTGGGAAGAGAGGTGTGATATAGGTGTCCCATTTAGGGCTAAGTGATCTGCAGTCTCTTGTTCTCTGCACACTGATCAGCTATGGGTCTCTGTGTTAATCTCCATCAGATCAACTATACTTTAAGTGCACAATGATCACACATGTCCAGAAGTTGCTGTGTTGGACAGCATAGATACAGACTCTTACAAACCTCTGCCCCCAATCTTCTCCCACTTCCTATACATTCCCACTTGTCTAGTCTCTTCTCCAGAACATGGCCACTGGATGACCTCATGGTACATGGATCATTTCATCCCAGTCCATTACAAGACGCTTTATCCCAGGAGCCCACAGTTCAGTATGGCACACAATTCCAACAGACAGATGACCCACTTGATACATTGGGCCTATCCTCTGCAGAGTCACATGCCTCTGCCTGGTCCAGAGCCTAGCACCCAGCAGGACTTTAGCTAATGGCCTTCTTCCCCAACTCCTCTGCTAGAGCCCCTTCTCTGCCCCCTTCCCTGTGCACAATCAGTGCCTGGGGCCTCATGTGCTCTAACTCTCCCAGCAGAGAGAGTCCCTGATCCTCAATTTTCTAGTGGGAGAAAGAAAAGTCAGGACTGAATTGAGGCTGCATTTGAATCCTGTCCAGGCCCTAGCTAGGATGAGCTCAGACCACAGATGACCTAATATTCCAACAAGTGAGTATGAACTTGAACAGGGGTGGTTAGCAGAAACTAGGAAGGGAAGAGAGTATGAGTGAAAGCTCTTCCTCTGCAGCCAGGCTGGAAGCCACCACTTCTCATGCAGTTTATAAAACTCCCCAGCAAGAGCAACATCAGGGCAGTTCTTCATCCCAAGGCCTCTTGCAACATGACTCACCAAGTGCTTTCTCTTGCCAGTGATTGCTCTAAGCCCTGACTCATTGAGTACCAGAGTTACACAGATGAAGCACCATTATTGTAGAGGAGGAAACGGGCTTGGAAAGGTAAGTTGTCCAAAATTCTACAAGCTAAAACACTAGCAGAGCAGAGCCTTGACCCTAGACAGTCTGGATCCAGAGTATGCCCCTAATGCTTGTGCTATAGTGTCTCTCAGAGCATACATCTCAAGTGTGTGAAAATTTGTATCAAATTGTCCTATCCAGGAAAGCAAGTCTCTAATGGGACAGTTTGGACTTCTATGATTGAGGACGGGAAGGAACAATTTGAACGTTTGGCAATTTCTCAACTAGCATCCAGTAAGTGTTTGATATCCAGGAAATGTCAACAGTGCCTTGATCATTCCCACCTCCCTGACCAGCACCAGCTCTCACCTGATTTTATAGATGAGGCCCACATTGTTGGTTCTCACCCGGAACACATCAACATTGGCTTTCTCAAAAGCAGACTCGCTCCTGCAGTAAACATGTACAGTTAGTGCCAATCACTATGTGGCTTGTAGCATCCTCTTCCTCCTCCATCATCCCACTCCCAGAAAGAGCTGCATGCAACTAGATCCCATTCTGAGATGTCTTTCTGATATGGTCAGAGAGGAGGAGGGTAAGGATGGACAGTATCAAGCCTTGTCATTACACGCAGGCTCTCATTTGATCATTGCTGTGAGCCACCAAGGAGAGAATAGTGGAGAATACTAGCCCCATTACATGGAGGTGCTAGCTGGTAGCTGAACTGCAATGGGCACATGGCTCTCCAAAGTTATCAGCCCATTCCAACCAGTTGTCCTGTCTGGGAGGGTGAAGAAGGGTGGAAAGTGGGAGGGAGGCCTGGATCCCCTTGTGTCTGCAGATCCCCTTGCCTCTCACCCTCCCCTTCCTTGTTCTTTTGTGAAAAGAGTTGCAATGGCAGCCCCAAGTGGATGCAGATCTTGGGTGGTGGACCCTGCTCCTGCCATTCCAACAAGGAAGGGAAACTTCCACCCCAATCCAGCAACCAGGGAGATGGAGAGAGTGAGGGAAACCACAGCTGGCATCTGACAAACAGTGCAATCAGGGGACATACACCTGAGATGTGAGGGGGTACAGTGCCCAGGTGAGTCACAGCACATTCTAGTTTCATGTAGCTTACACACAGGAGGGCTGGAGACACCTTGCCCTGGAATCCTTCAGGAGTAGAAGCCTGAGTCTCATGTCAGCATCTTTTACATCTTCTGTGTGGGCCAGGAACCCAGCCGTTAGATGCCAGACTTGCCAACAGCTCTTCCTGCTTCACAGTTGAGCCCTCTGGTTTGAGTATAGTCCTCCCTCTGTGCTCCCAGCCAGGGCTCATGGGACCAGTACACAGCCAGAGGAAAAGAAAATCACAGAAGACATAGGCCTATGCTATGGTTTAGACCTTTAAAATGTGTTCCCAAAGCCTCATGTGTTTAAAGATCCTTCCCCTTCTATCCTAGTTGCTATTTGGAAACCTTTAAGAGGTGGGACCAAGGTGTATAGCTCAGTGGTAGAGCAGTCACCTGGTATTCATGAGGCCCTGCGTTTGACTCCCAGCACTGCATAATCAAGAAGGTGGGGCCTAGAGAGAGGTAGTTGGGTCACTGAAGGCATGCCCTTGAAGGGGATGTTGGGACCCCACTCCTTCCTGTTTCTGTCTCCACTTCCTGGTTTCCCTGAGTTGAACAGTTTACTCCACAACTGGTGTTGCCTTGCCATGGAGCCAACTGATCATGAACTGCAACTTCCAAAACTATGAAGCAAAATAACCCTTCTCTCTTTTTAAGTTGGTTTATTTTAGGTATCTGTTAGAGCCACAGAAAGCTGACTAACTCAGCTTGTAATTATTAACATTTACCTACCAGCCATCAATGTGCTTCAAAATAAAGGAGAGGAAGGGCTTTCTCCAAAGACCACAAGGCTCGGGCTCAGTAACAGAAGGCCTTTCAGGTTCTCTAGAACCCAGAAGCTGGAATTCTATAAACTGAGTCACTCATAAATAGTCTACCCCAGGGAAAAGTTTCCTTAAGGAGCAGGGGCATCATAGGAAAAGGGCTTGGCCCTCCTACAGAAGAGCAGAGCTCATGAAGATATACACTGAGACAGCCTTGTCAGAAAAAAGAGACCCCAAGGAGCAGTTTGGGTCCAGAGAGGTGAGGAGAGACAGAACCTTCTAGATTTGCTATAGGGAAAAGGAGACTCCCAGGCTGGTGGCCTATGTCTGTGCTCAGGTGGGGCTTGGCCACAGTTAGGAAGGGAGGAGCCAAGGGATAACATTTTAAGTGCACAGAAAAAAATGTTTCTCCCAAAGAATGAGTTGGTATCCTTCCTGAAAAAATAAAGTTTCTGGACCCAGCATTGAGAAGGGAAACTAAACAAGCCAGTACCTGTGAGAGTCTAGCTGATGTGGGGGTTTCATTTTTGTGGGAGAAACCACAACAGGACCGCCCCCCTCAGCTCTTAGTTCCATTGCAGGAGCTGTGAAATAACTTGGAACACATGTGGATATCAATTCTGCACATCGGGATTTTTTAAATGAGAAACAAAGAGGTGAATAAATGATATTTTATCTTTCAACACATGACACAAAGCAACTAATTTTTAGAACAAATAAGCAAGAGTTTCTACATTAAATAAATACCTTAAGGAATAGATACCCTGGGACGCTATATGATTGAATGTTTTGTAGCCATGAAAATCCTATTATAAAAGAATACTTAATGAAACAAAAGCAGGGTATGATACAAGCTTAAAAGAAGAAACAGGTTAAAATGGAATCTATGAACAGAACAATCAATACAAACAGGATGCCATCTTCATTTAAGAAACAGTGAGTAGGGATTTATACAAAACACTGTCCTGAGGCTAAGACGAAGTGATTATTATTCCTCCTTCTCTACATTTTTCTCAAATTTTCCAAGAGGAACCCATATTGCTTTTGTGATTCTGAAAATGAGCATGGTCCTGTGTTTCAGGATCCCTCACCCAACCCCACCCACAGGCTACCAAGGACACATTCTCTGAAGGTCTGGAGATGGCTAGGAGTCATCCTCCGAGGGTACATGGAACCTGGGAATCAGCCACTGTAGTGAGTAGAGGAAGAGGCGGAAGTGTCCCCAGCCCATTTCAGCCAATGCTGAGGTGTGACTTAAAAGGAAAGCAGTCTTTCTGAGGTGCCTTCAATGAGAATTCTCTAAGGGAAAATCTGAAAGCTCCTTTTGGCAATGAGGAGACTTAAGCCCACGGCATGTTCTGTTGTGCTTGTTAAATAATTAGTCATGGTACTTCCTGGTCACTGTAGTGGGGGGCATGGAAGCAGGAAGAAAGGTCTGCTTGACAAGCAGGGGACACTCTGGGCTATCTCAGGGCCACACTGTGGAGGTGGGCATGGTTCCCAACCAGATGGGATACAAACTCCAACAGTGTTCATCACATGGAGACCTGGAAAGCCCTGTCAGTCCCAGGGCTCTTGTCAGCAAATAAGGGGCTACAGACAGGCTCCAATAATTCTCTATTTTGAGAGAGAGGCTGGGACTGTCCCAGACAAGCCCACAGTCCCTCCCACTCTGGAGTCAGATCTGGAATGCCCACTTCTGGTAAGTCAAAATGCAAATGCTGGTGAGCTTCAGAGAACTGACTGAGGCTGGGGTGGAACTCACAAAGGAAATACCAGAAGGGCAGGCTCCTCACATTTCCCAGACTGAGCCTCACCATGACTCTTGCATCATTCTCAAATAAAGCCTAAGCCAGTGCATTGCCCACGCCACTACCATTCAGCAGAGACCTCCCCCAGAGAAAGTCGGCAGGCTACCTCAGGCATTTTAGCCACCAACCAGGCAAAGCCTCCAAGCTAAAAGGCCAGGCATTCCCCAACACACTCAGGTAGTGAATCTCAGCAGGAAAACCGTGCTCCAGAAGATACATGAAATACAATCCTTTTGCCATTTTGTGAACGTGTGGCTTCTTGAGTAACAGGGAGAGAACAGGAAACCCAGAAGATGGGAACTTCCTCTAGAAATCATTTCTGTGAGCATCTCACTGGGGTGGAATATTGGTAGGGGTTCACCAGGGGGAATCTAAGGTAACATGCCACGTTCTTTGCTGCAAAGAAGTCAGAAAGCAAAGATTTTCTTGAAATAGGAATTATGTTGTATTGGGTTGGGGGTGAATCTTGCTAAGCAGTGTGGGATTAGAAGGCAATGCTCCAGGATGCAGGGAAAGGTATAGGAATGAGTCCAAGTCAGGGTGAGATAGAAGAGGAAGAACAGGAGACAGAGGATGAAAGACATGAATGACCAAAGGCTGTGGAAAGGGGCAGGAGAAATTCCAGTAAACATAGAGACTGAATTGGAAGACTAAGGGATCTAGTATTCCAACTTGACTTGTTTGCAATGACAATGTGAACCCTTTCTTCGGCTCAGAGCTTGTGTTACATACGTGTGTGTGTGTGTGTGTGTGTGCGTGTGTGTGTGTGTGTGCGCGCGCGTGCGTGCGTGCATGTGCGCTCAAGGTAATTCAGTGTGTCTGACTTGGAGTGGGTTTGGTGTGGAGAAAGGGGATCTGCAGACAGATGTGAGGAGATCATGGGAGACGTGGCAACTGCCTGCACTAAATATATCTGCACTCAGAGAAGGCGACTTCATGACCACCTGTGTTTGAGTTGCACAGACATCCTAAATTCCTCAGAAATTCTCATTCTCCTCCCAAACTCAGTTTTCAGCTTAAGCTTCAGGAATTTTAGACTTTTTTTTTTTTTTTGGTAGATGTTTCCCTCAGTTTCTTGCTATGGCCAGACTCTGGTCTCCCGTTTCCCTTCTGGCATGCTCACTAGTCAGATGATATCAGCAACCACTGTAAACTGCTCATCAACTGCTTGGCTTTCAGGGAAGGCCTTCTGAAGTCTGGCCTCCAGCTTTTCTGTTCTGTCCCTCACCATAGCAGCATGGGTCCCAACGGCAGCTCCACCCACAGGGCCCTTACTCTCTATGCAATCTTACAAACTGCTTCTCTCAGTCTAACCAACCCTCCTGTGTTCCTCTCTCTCTTATCTGAGTCCATTTCAGCACTGGAGGCTCAGGTTGTGTCCTTCCCTATGAAGTGTTGCTCTGGTCACATGACAGCTCAGGCATCTACTGAGCTCTGCCTATTCACTGTGAACCTGGACAAGTACAGAGACCCAGGCAGCCCTTTCCTGCCCTCCCCCTGCAGCTCCATCACCTCCCTGCACAGCCCTCTAGCCTCACCAGCACCCAGCTGATAGTCTCACCTGCACCCACCCTCATGCTACTGTCCTGACCAATGGATTGGGCTTCCATTCAGTCCTGTGTTCTCAATGCCCAACCTCAAGTATGACACAGATCTAGGCAGAGACCCTCTCCTTCCCCAGCAGTTCCTGGGGTTGTTGACTCCTATCCCTAGGCTGCCCTAGAGAAACTGGCTCCCATGCTTCTTGGCTTTGCCAGCCCTTCATACTTTATTCCCCTTCACTACCATATAGCCTTTCTCTCCCCATTGAGAGAGAAGACTGAAAATCAGGCTCCCAGAGTGTGGGGACTCGGTGATAATCCTTCACAGGGTATTATATCAATGACTCTGGACCCTCCCATGAGGAAGTTTAGCAAGCAAACAAGCAGAGGGAGAAGCTGAGGATAGTAGATGCCTAAAAGGAGGAAGGACAGTGAAAGTCCATTGCAAAAAGAAGAAAGGATGATTTTGTCTAAAAAGGCAGGCTGGGGACTACAGAAACCTGCTGGCCACTTCCCCTAGGCTAGTGGCATCTCCATCCTGCAGTGCATTCTGGGATGATGTATGGCAAAAAGAAGAGGCATTTCATGTATTCCCTTTACCGTGCCCACATCACTGGAGGGAAAGACTTCCACGAGAGAGCCACGTGCAGTGAGAGAAGTACAAGGAGGCAGGTACCCTGTTCTGCAGAAATGGACAAAATAGGGCATTATGACTGCCTTGACACTGCTGCAGAGGAATCGTGGCCCATATTCGGGGCTCACATATGGTGGGCCTGATCATCCTGCAAAGCACAGAGTCCCAAGTCTCCTAACCTGGAGACTCCACCTCTCTATACCTTCCTGTATAAACCTTCAAGGCCACAACCTGGGGCCCCAGTGGGCCTGGAGGAGTGTCTCTCACGTAGCTCCGGGAAATAGAGTAATGTGCGTCAATTAAAATGCCTACACCACAAATATGCGTGGAGGACCAGATTTCCCATCAAAAAGCTCTGGGACTATGAACTACTCAATGCTTCCCCCTAGGCCTCAGTTTCTCCATGAAGAGGGTAGAACTTATTAGTGGTTTTAAATGACTATGGAACTTTTCCCCAAACAAAATCTTATACAGAAATGCAGTGGGTAAGAGCTGCTCTCAAAGATGGGGTCATGGTGGACCCAGGGCAGGACAGTCAGCAAGTCTGCCTAGATAGCCCAGGCTGAAAGCCAGTAGGACTAGACATTCCTAAGGCCCCTAGCCATCTCTGAAATTCTGTCATTTTGCAGCACACACTTGGGTTTGCTGTGTTCGTACATGCATGTGTGAAGAGAGGAAGAGGACCAAAGAGAAGACAGCAGTCTCTGCCCTCAGAGTGTTAAAGTGAAGGGCATGAGGATGTGCGTGCACACGCGCACGCACACACACATGCTTATTACACATGATATGGTCCACATAGCTGAGTGTGCATGGCTGCCAGGCAGGTTTAATAGGATGCAGAGCATTTTAAAATCATGGCTTCCTCACATGCAATCATCACAACATTCACTCTTATAACAGCTCTTGGGTAGTAGATAAGGAAATCAAGGCCTTGGAGACACTGAGATTTTGCCAAAGTCACACGGAGTTGGGTAGTGAAGCTTGTCCTAGACCCAGGTTTCTTACACATGAGCATCTATTCTCCCACATCAAGAGACAGACCTGAGTTCTTCGGAGATCCAAATTAGGCATTACTGTTCACAAAACTGAGGAAGTGGCAAAGGAGGATGGCAGAAAAGCACTGGGAAATCCCTGGATGGCACATGGTTTATTGCCAGAGACTCCTCACCATTTAACATGCCTGTGATCTGGTGAGCCATCTATCTAGAGCGGACAGCCACCACTGGGTTCCAGAACTTCATCAATCAGATGAATATCTCAGGACCCCTAATACGGCCAAAGTGGTACTCACTTGCTGGTGAGATGAAGCTTGGGAGAGAGCCCATTCTCTCCAAAAATCGTGATGAACACATTGGCATCTGTCCCTGCACCACGAATATCCCCTGTAGCTGTGACCACCTCGTACACTGGAGAAGGGAAGAGGACAGATTGTAAGCTCAGAAGGGAACCCAGGATTCCATGCTCACAAGCACAAACCAAGGTCAGGTCTGTACCAGCTCCTGCTGCAAGACCAAAACTCACTCTCAATACCAGACACTGCTTTTGCAGACAAGCTGAAAGCAGAGAGAAGGCCAGTCACACCCTGCAAGTTAACCCACCTCAGGGCTGGGTATGCAGAGCTTCCCAAGGGATCTGTCTTTGGCAGGGACACTGAGTTCTCCTTCGTGGGACCCTTGAAGCCTGCTTGGCTTATTGGCAACACCCTTCCTGGTCAGAACATCAGTTTCTGCTTTCTTGCTGGGACAGAATCTATCAAGATTTTTAGAAATGGCAGAACCTGCTACAACCAGGGGTACTGAGCAGGATGAGCAGGGACATGTGATGGCCAGGAGGAAGGCTGGTAAGACTGTAGGAATGTGCCTTAGACCTATTTTTGGAATCAACTCCCAGAAACCCAGCACAGACCTGGCCTGGGGGCAGAGTTATTGCAGCCAGCCACCCACAGCCACATCACCTCTGCCAAGAAGTGGGAATAGCCACAACACCACCCCATCCAGCTGCTATTCCTTTTTCTAAAAGAAATGTGTGTGTGTGTGTGTGTGTGTGTGTGTGTGTGTGTGTGTCCACCCTGTTTTATGAGACTCACTTCTGAATCAGTTGTGGGCTGGATATGCTGATTCAGGGAACCTACCACACAAGTGTGCAGAAAGGGCAGCTGAGCAAAAGGAAATGAGTCTGTGTTGGGAAGGAGGAAGTCACAATGTGGAAAGCTGGCCAAATGTGGGAAGGGCATTTGAATGCCCAGGGCATATGCCAGCTGTCCACCATATTACAATTGTACAGATACCAGTGCTTGATATCTGTGGTCATAACCAACACTGATGGCTTACTTTACACCCAGCCCTAAGCTAGGGGCTTTTCATATATCATCCACTTGATTGTTATAGAAAATATATTATCATTCTTGGATATTTCTGATCTTTTCAGAACAGGTCTCCAGTTGCTGAATACATTTGCACTATCTTGAGGAGGTCTTGTGGATTGGGATGATATCTGGGGGTTAAACATTCATCATTCAAAAGTATCAATTCACAGTCCATTCCACAGATGGGGTTGTCCCAGGTACAAATGGCAAAGTTGAGGGGTGAGGGATGGTGGGTTATAAACACCTCTGAGCACCTGTTCCATGCTGGGGTTGTGGTGAATGTGTTCCAGGTGTGTTTCACATATTATTCATCCTACTGCAAGTTCAGGAGCCTCTGTGCTGGGGCAAAGGGCTAGACAACAGTGCCACTGAGACCTGGGGGTAGCCACTGACTCTCCACTTAGGAGCAGGATGACTCTTTCCAAGTACCTACCTGCCTATAACATTGGACAGTAATATCAATCCACTTTACAGAGCTGTTCTGGGAATGAAAATAATGTATGTAGAGGCTCTGACACATAGAAGATAATAATAAATAGCCTTTCTGTTTTTAAGCTATTATTTACAAAGAAAAATCCCATTTCATCCCAGAACTAACACCTTTTCTTTTGGTGGACAGGATATTAGCTCAAGTACCATGAACATGATGCCCAGGTATTCCAGAAGACTTTCTGGAGCACCTCCAATTCTAATGTGGTACTTCTAGGTCTTCAGAAATCAGAGTCAATAGTGTCTGGGGATAAGTGGAATATTGAATGACTCTGGTTCTGACAAAGCCCCACCAAGGCACTATGAGTGGGGAAAGAAAGTAGCCCGTGTGTGGGCTCTGTTTCTCGTGATAACTGAAGGTCTGAATCTCATAGCCTGTGCCCCAGAGGAGCCTAGTCTGCAGCAGCTCTGGAGTACCACCCATGTGATCTACGCACACAAGGGCATTTCTGAGCCAAGTAGCCATAGAACAGTTGGGCTGGTGGAAATTCTAGGGCCACATCACATGAAAGATGAGAAAGAAGCCCAGAAATGCTGACTTTGGAGAAAAGGAGAGTCTGGGGTTCAGAACAGCAGTGGGAAAGCTGACTCAGTGACTCAACGGCTGGTTCAGGAGCACACAGCTACATCCTAAGTCAGATACTAACCATATAGAAGTTCAACTGAACTTAAGTACAATTAAGATCATCAGGAAAATGAATAAGGTGAGTCACAGACAAGTATATGGCATTTGGAATACATCCAATAAAGGACCCATACCTAGAATGTATGAAGAATTCAAAATAAATAAATAGAAAAACAGAGAGACTACATGATTATTTAAATACACAATTTCTTTAAAAAATAAACATGCACTTATAATAAGATCCAAAACTTCCAAAGTTAGGTTTCTGACCCAAGGGAGTTAAAAACACATGTACACAAAGCCCTGGGAGCACAACATTTACAAGACCTTATTCCTAGTAGGCCCAAACTAAAAATAACCTAAATGTCTATCAAGGGGTGAATGGATAAACAAGTTGTGGAATTTCCACACTCTGGAATACCATTCAGCAGTCAAAAGCAATGAGCTATTGGCACATACAACATGGTTGAATCTCAACTACATTACATGGAGCAAAAGTCAGAGAGAAAACAGCTCATTCTTTAAAATATTACTTATATGAAACTATCAATAACAAATATGATTATTGTAATAGAAGTCAGAATGGATTGGGAACAACACAAGGAACTTTTAGTTCCCCTAATGTAAATGTTCTCTAACTGATTTGGTCACATGGGTATAACACTAATCAAATGGGATGTTTAAAACAGATGTATTTTATTATAATAAACTGTACTTTAATAATATTGAAAAGTGTAGAGGGCTTCACAGATATGTTATCAAAGATAGCCAAATGGTCAATGAACATAGAAGAGAGTGATCAACAATACTATTCATCAGAGAATTGAAAGCTAAAATTAAAAGCTAAAAGCTAAACACAGTCAGATACTACAATATTCCCACCAGAGTGGTTAAAATAAAGAAGACTGACAAAACACTTGACCAATACCAACTTGGGGAGGAAAGGGTTTATTTGGCTTACATCTCCCGGGTCACAGTTCATCAGGGAGCCTAAGGCAGGAACTCAGGGCAGGAACCTGGAGGCAGGAGCTGAAGCACAGGCCATGGAGGAATGCTGCTTGCAGGCTTGCTCCCCTGGTCCCTGCTCAACCTGCTTTCTTATACAACATAGTTCCACCTACCCAGGGTGGCACTACCTGTGGTGAGCTGGACTCTTTCACATCACTCAATAATCAAGAAGTTGCCCCACAGACATGGCACAGACCAGTCCAATGGAGGCAATTCACCAACTGAGGCTCCCTCAACCCAGGTGTTGACGCTAAAGCTATCCGGCACAGCGTGTGTCCATCAAAAGATGTGCACAAGATCTGTAACAGCTTTGTGCATGATAGTAAGAAATAAACATGGATACAATTTGATTGTCCATCAATAAGAGAACAGTTAAATGGTAATATGTTTATAAAATGCCACAGTATTCACCAGAAAAAAGAACAAACTATGTAACATGTCTAAATACCTAAAACTCTCAGATGGAACCCTGAATGAGAAAGAAAATAGAAAATATACACAAGTCAGGCATGTAATCACCTCTGTGATCCCATGGGCTACATGGGAGATATATATTATATATATATAGAGAGAAAGAGACAAATGTGGGCAACAGTGAGACTGTCTCCAAAAAAAAATGTACATGTATGACTTCATTTATATGAAGCTAAAGAACAGAAAATAAATTGGTTTATGGTGCTAAATTCAGGAGACTTGTGAGCTGTGGAAAAAGGTGTGAAGGAGCTTTGTGGGAGCCACCAATGGACCATCCTGATCTGAACTGTGATTCCAAAGCATGCCCACAAGAATTCACCCTTCGGTACCTTTATCAGTACACATCGTTCCTTAAATTTTTTAATTTAAAAAGATCAGAGCAGATAGGTGAACGCTCCAGGCACTGCAATCCTATTCAATACCCCGCAGCCCCTCAGCCCTGCAGCCCCACAGCCCGCACCCTTGGCCTTGTAGTACTCATGTTCCAGCTCATCCTCATCATCCTCCGAGTTGTAGTTCAACAGCTCCTCCTCGTACAGGCCCAGGAAATCAATGACTTTCTTCCTCCTCTTTTTCTTCTGGGGCATCATTTTGCCAACTACTGCTTCTTGGCCCTTGCAGGCTCAGGGGTCCAACTCCTGGGCTTCCTTAGACCCTAACTCGCACTCCCTGGGCTGCAGAGCCCTCAACCCCTCCTGGGGCTTCAAGTCTGGGAGGGTCAGACTGGCCCTGCTCCCTGGGTCCCTTGGACCTCCTGTCCCAAAGATCTGTTCCTTTTTTCTCCTCTCTGACCTTTCAGCCCAACCCAGTGCTTTCTTTTCTTCTTTTCTTTTCCCCCTTCCTGTCCCTGTCCTCTTCTCTGCCACCCTCTCCCACTCTGCACCTGCCCTGGGGTTTCTCTGTGAGCTTCATGGTTTATTTATGAGAATGAGAAGGCTCTCCTCCTCCCAGAGACTCAGGTGACATAGTCCTGGCATCTGTTTCCCACCTGCCCTCACAGTGGAAAGGGTGACACCCAGGATCCTTCCAGGCCACTCCAAGGGCAGGTAGGGGCCTACCACGAAGGAGACACCTGAGCTTCACAGCCCTTGAGGGCCCCAAATGGTGCCCTAGGCCTGGTCCCTTCTGAGAAAGGCAGAACTGGGGAAATCAGCCAAGCTCCTGGGCTCAGATGACTGCTTTCTCTCCATTATTCATGAGTACTGATCATCTTACACAGCAGGCAGGTTCTTGCAGGCAGGTTCTTACTGGATCACTCCCATTCTCTGCTTTCATCTCCTCAAGAATGCTGTCTTCTGGATGTGACCTTCCTCCAGGTTTAGAAGGTTCACTGCCCTTTACAAGCATGTACTGACCCACAAAACAGTTACTGAGTGTGAGTGACAAACACTGCCAGCCTGGATCCCAAGACCTGGGGACACCCACTCATCCTCAGGTGACTGCAGCAGCACCCAGACAGGTCAAGTAAGACATACCGGCTTGACCTTGTGAAGCAATCTCAGGATACTCTATTTTCTGCATATCTTAAACACCTCAGGTCAGCTCCAAGTCTCCTGAAGTCTCCCCCCTCTCCACCCTCAGCACATGGGGAATTTTAAGTTAGGGCAGAACAAGGGTCAGAGTCCTTTCCAACCCTCAATCAGCAAGGAGAACTCCCTATACCTAGCAGACGTCTTACTTGCTCATTTTATTATGATATTTTCAAAGATCCCTGGTAACTGGGGCCGGAGAGGTGGCTCAGTGATTAAGAGTACTGGCTGTTCTTGCAGAGGACCTAGATTCAGTTCCAATACCCATATGGGAGCTAACAACCACCTTCTAGTTCCAGGGGTCTAATGCCCTCTTCTGGCCTCCATGGGTACTGCACATGTATGGTATACTTACATACATGCAGACAAAACAGTTATAAACACAAATAAATAATCTTTTTAAAAAGATTCTTTATAACCAAAGTTGTAAGATTTCTATACATATTCTGAAATACTCCTCTGCCCTTGCTGGTGAGTATGAGGGCAGAACTGAAATCATTGTACTACCTCCTGGGTATGTGGCCTGTAACATGGCCATGTTCCCATCCTTAAAGGGGGAATAATGACCACTAGTGTATATTGGAAAAGCTCTTTATCAATCAGAAGCTTCTAGAGCACATTAGAGGTTAAGGAATGTCCTTAACTCCTGCAGCAGACTAGATAGATGCTTGTTTCTCTCCCAGAGTCATATGTTGAATATTGACATGAAAATTCTTGTATCAAGGAGAAGGTACTAGAAAGTGGGGCCCATGGGAGGAGATTTGGTCATGAAGGTGGAGCCCTCGTGAGTTTAATCACTGCCTTATAAAAAAAAAAAAAAGGTCCCAGAAGGGGTTGAGGGGTTAGAGAGGTGGCTCAGTGGTTAAGAGCACTGATCGCTCTTGCAGAGGACACAGATTCAATTCCCAGTACCTACATGGTGACTAGCAACCATCCTTAACTCCAGTTCCAGGGACCTGATGCCCTCTTCTGACTTTCTCGGGCATTGCACAACATGGATGTACCTACCTACATGCAGACATTACACTCATACACATTAAATAAAAATAAAAATATGAATACAATATTTTTTTAAAAGAGGCCCCAGGAGCTGGGAAGATGGATAAGCTGGTAAAATGTTCGATGTGTAAGCATGAAGACCCAAACCATCTCTCAGAACCCATTTAAAAAGCCGGGTATGGTATAATCCCAGTGCTGGGGAGGCAGAGACAGAATCCCTGGAGCTTGCTGGCCAGCCAGTCTAGGTGAACCAGCGGACCCTAGGTTCACTGAAAGACCCTGTCTCAGAGAGTAAGATGAAGAGCAATCAGGAAGACACTGAATGTTGACCTCTGGCTTCCCTCTCGCACATGTGAGAGAGAGAGAGAGAGAGAGAGAGAGAGAGAGAGAGAGAGAGAGAGAGGAGAGAGAGCTGCCTTGCTCTTGTGCCATTCAAGGACTCATGAGAAAACAGCTTTCTCTGAAAAGGAAAAGGGTCCTCAGCATACATTGGGTCTGCAGACACCCTGATCCTGGGGGGTTTTGTAAGCCACGTTATCATAGCCGGATCAGACCAACACTGCTCCTCAGCAGGATGTCCCTTATTTTGCTTAGGAGAGTTTGATGATTTGTTATCATCTCAGACTGTTCCAGAATCTTCCTTTCAGATCACACGTGTGTTCTTCCCCCATGCCTTCTGCGACCCAACAGAATCTATGAGTTCACGGATGGGTTCCTGTTTCCTCCTAGTTTCCTGGCAGTACCATCTGGGAAAGGGTCTATTATATGTGGGCCCAGCTGTGAGCTCTGTGGAGCCTTATGGGTTAAGGGTCCTAGAGTCCTAGGCTTGCACAAGAGCTGAAATGTTTGTCACTGTAGGGCTAAGGGTCCTGTACTAGAGATTATCAAGAGAGTGTTAAGGCTAGAGGGCTCCATGTGCTGCAGCTCCTGGCTCTCTGTTTGTGTCACTCTGCTGCTTTCAAACACCAAAGAATCTAAAAATTGCCAAGATCAGGACTGAAAGGTTTTGCTCTCACCATCCCAATATTTTGATCTACATAGAACATAAAGACCCCCACCAACTGACTGGTAACCATAGGAGGGCAGGAGAACTGCGCCAGTCATGCTCAGACCCCCTACCTGAGACAAAGTCCAGAAGGAGGAATCTGGTCTGCCACAAGCACAAGACTTCACTAGCTCCTCATTTGCTACCTCCCTGCTCCACACCTTTTTTCACAGAGCTGCAGTCACCAACCAGGTCCCTAACCCTGAGCCTGGGACTCTCAGCTAACACCTGCCTTCTCTGCTGTGGGTTGATCCTAGCTCTGGGCCACCTCTGTCCAGGTCCATGATTCCTGAAGTGATTCCAGAACCACCCAGATTAGACCCTCCTAAAGAGTCATTGAAATGCAGATTCCTGGCCAGACATGGTGGCATATGCCTTTAATCTCAGCATTTGGGGAGGCAGAGGTGGGCAGATCTCAGTGAATTTGAGGCCAGCCTGGTCTACATAGAGAGTTCCAGGCCAGCTGGGGCTACAGAGAGACCTCTCTCTCAAAAAAAAAAAAAAAAATGCAGATTCTGGGCCCCTCCTTAGACCTGCTGAATCACAACTTACAAAGGAGAAACTTGGGAGTCTATATTTTCAGTGTCTTCACCCTGCCCTGCCACTCTCAGTGATTTTGTTTTTTCATGTACCAGAGTTGGAAAACTCCAATAGCTGATGCCCTCCCAGGCAAATTCACTGGCTTGATAGCTCACCTGGACAAACCTGGCAGCACACTGGGATTCCCTTGGGTTTACAAATGAGGGATCATGGGCCCTAGCCCTCGGGTATTTGATTTGCTTGGTTTGGGGTGTCGCTTTTTAAACATTTTATTATTTTTATTTTATTATTATTAAGAGTATGAGTGTATTTTGCCTTCATGTTGGTAGGTGTACCTATGTTATGCAGTGCCCACAGAGGTCAGAAAGGGTGTTGGATCCCCTGGAACTGGAGTTACAGATGGTTAGCCTCCATGTGGGTACTGGGAATGGACCCAGGTTTTCTGCAAGAGCAGTCAGTGTTCTCAACTGCTTAAGCCATCTCTCCAGCCCTGAAGTGTAGCTTTTAAAATTCCTTGTGATTTAAAGATACAGACATGGTGAGTACCATGTCCCTCCTCAGATAACTGAGGATTGCTAACAGGGGCATCTTATTTGCCTGAACTCTAAGGCAAAGAGGTGACTACAAAGGGAAAGTTCAGAGGGAAAGCAGATGGAGTAGGCATCACCACAACAGCTAGCACTAGCGCCCTTGCCCCATGTGTAGGGAAGCTTCATTCCCATCCTGCTCTTTTGAGGTATCAAGATCCCTACCAAGGGAAGGTATCTCTGACCCCAAACTTCCTCACCCAGAAAGATCAACTCCACCTCCTTTCTCCTACTCTGCTGAGGGACTGCCCTGGAGTGGATGGAAATTCTAAATGTTCTAAATAAGAGTGGATGGTGCACGCCCCCTGCTGGTGTCGTGTGGTTTGGCCTCTGGAAGCTGGATGATTGGAAGTTATAAGGAAAAATTTGTAAGGACTGAGATGGCATGCGAACACACACACACACACACACACACACACACACACACACACGAATGTGCACATTTTGCTTGAGGATCCATCAAAAACTTTTCATTTTGAATGAGTTGCCATTCAGACAAAATTTTATTAGGAAGTTTTTTCAAGACATGGAAATTAAAATATCTCTACATAATCCCATAACATTAGAACACATGAACAAAAACAAAGCAGGGTCTGAATCAAAGCCAGACACCGGCAAGGCTGTAGAGCAGCCAGACTGTCATACAAGGGCAGGGGAGTTAAAAACACACCAGCCACCTCCAGGAAGGGCACAACTCTTGTGTGTTAATTAAACAAAAACCTCCTACACAACCCAGAAACCCCACTCCCGGACATCTACCTTAAGACAAAGAAGAGGGTCTAAATATGATTAAGATGCATTGTATGAAACGCACAAAGATTCGATAATATATATTGAAAAAATAAACAATCAACAGATAAAAAATTTTTAAGTGCATGTCCATCTTTTGGCCATGACAGGACTGCTGCACTCATAAATTCACAGCAGCTGTGATTGTCTGCACAGGATCTAGCCAGTCAACACTCTATCATGGAGGGGGAGGGGCTTGCAAACCCTCAACCCCCAGCTGAGGAGCTACCAACAATTGATGACTTCTGGGAAGAGTCAGTTTTCTTTAAGGGTGACCCCCCCCCGTAAGTCGACCACACTCCAGTGAATGGTCCCACACCTGTGAATATATCAGTAGCTCAAACTATTTTTTTTAAAAAAAGAGAGAACATGAAGTTAGGAGGGGTGGGAGGGTGATGGTTGAACTGGGAGAAGTTAGGGGGAGAAGCGGAGTGGTGAGCATAATCAAAATACATTGTATGGGGGCTGGAGAGATGGCTCAGCAGTTAAGAACACTGGTTGTTCTTGCAGAAGACCCGGGTTTGATTCTCAGCAGCAACATGGCAGCTAACAACTGTCCGTAACTCCAGTTCCAGGGGATCTGACGGCCTCTTCTGTCCTCTTGGGCATTACACAACATGGGTGCACTTACCTACATGCGGGAAATACATGCATACACATAAAATAAAAATAATAAATAAAATA